TTTGAAGTTGAGGTGAGACAGGCGTCTGTGCCATAGACTGTTTTGTTCATAGGAAGCTTTGGACAGCAGGCAGATGGAAGAAGGTAATTGTACGCTCTTCAGATCAATGGTGTACAGGTTGGAAGTTCTCGTGCAGGTCAATAACACCTTCCCAAACCTGTCCAGCACACAGCATTGTCTGGCTATAAACTTCACTTCCATGCCACTATCACAGAACTGTCCAATGCTTAGCAGATTATGCTTCAGTCCTTTCACATATGACACAGCCTTGATGGTGACACTTGCACAGATGACATCCCCATATCCTAGGATTGGAGAAGCCGCGTTGTTTCCAAATCTCACATTTCCTCCGTAGCATTTGGTGTAGTTGCTCAACAGTTCTTTTATTCCGGTCATGTGGGTTGAGCAGCCTGAATCTAAGTGCCACACATGACCGTCCTGCAAAACAGATTAAGGACTTTTAGGTACCCACCGCAGGATGGGTCCTTCCTTATCAATTGAGAATATCTTTTTGAAGTTTTCTTTCAGCTGTGATCCACGGTCAACAGCCTTTTCAGATAATGTTCTTTGTTTTTCAAGTTCTGTTTTTGGTATCCATTTTTGTTTGATTTTAGGAGCGGAGGAGACAGAGTCATTGTTACCATGTGTGAATGGCTGGTTCGTGAGATAAGGTTTGAAAATTTCTTCTTTAGAGAGACGTTGTAAATGTTTCTTCGAATGAACTCTAAGAGGATATCTTAGATTTGGAAGATTATAGGTACCCTCTACAGTTCTATTCTCAGACTGTTTTCTTTGTTTGCGCTCTCCTTTTTCTTTCTCACGTACAACATTTACATCATGATCAGAACCAATAGTATCATTGCGGGGATTCACAAACCCAGAAGTGAACAACTTTTCATTGATAATGAAAGTATCAGATTTAAACTTAGAATGATTCAGCTTGGGACACAAGACTGAACTGGAACTACATGACTGTGACAGAGAACTAGATCTACGCTTATTTGAATAGAAAACAGCATTTGAACACGACTTTTTATTCTCAGAAAACATCTTCTTCTTTCCTTCAGCTATCTCAGCTCTCTTTAACTTCCACTCTCTTCTCCTTTCCACTCTCCGACTTACTTCATTTCCTGTTTTCAAAGGAGAGTTGGAGTGAGTGGGTGTTCTTTTGAAAAGGTTAGTTTTGTTCAGAATTGGTTGAGATGTATCAGTATCGCTAGATGATTGAGAAGTTGTGCCAGATTGGGAACTTTCTTTTAAAATGGTCAGTTCTCTCAACAACCTCTCCCTCTCACTTTCGAATTCTTTTCTCTCTTCTTCAAAACCTTTTCTTTGATTTTCTAAAGAGATGTGTAAGTTTTCAAATTTCCTGATTAGTGGAGGGATGTAGGGTTCTTCTCCACTTGAACCTGAGGTTGAAGGGGGTTCAGAGTCTGACACAACTTCCTTCTCAGAAGGATAGAGACTCACACTCTCGTCAGTTGACAAAACAGGTTCAGCGTTTTCATAGCTTTCGTTCAGGGAATCATAACTGAAAGGAATTTCGGCTTTTGAAGGATTTGACCGCTTTACCTCTTCTTCTTCTGCGGTTTCCTTTCCGTAGGTAAAAGCCATCAACTTGGTCAATCCTAACCCCATGTACTTTATGTTGTAAAGTTGAAGACAATCAATCTTTTTCAGATTGTTGGGATTAGTGAAGCCAAGACCTTCCTTTGAGTTATAAAACCGAGTGTCCCTGTTTTGGTTTAAGAAAATTGTTTGTTCAGTTTGTCCTCTTTTGACCAGCAGGTCTTCTAATTCTTTGATTTTTGTGTAAAGAGCACATCTTTGTTTGCGTAGAAAATCATTTTCTGCTTTTGCAACATTTCGTTCGAGTTCTGTGTCACTGACCTTCTTCGTTAGTTCAGTAATTTTCTGTGTAAGCTTTTCTGCTTCTAAATTTTGTTTCTGAACTCTTTCTTTCTCATTTTCTAGTTGTAACTTCAGGGAGTGACTCTTGTCTAGAGTATCAAGTACCATTTTGTAGTAATGATCTAACCTGCCTTTTAGCTCCTTTATGGTGTTATCCTTTTCACACGAGGAATGAACTTTGCATGTGCATGAGCAGGAAGATTCAGAAGTACTTACAGTGATGTTTGAACTTGGACTTTGACTTTTTCCGGGGGTCGCAGCGTCACCCTTTTCTTTTTCTTCTTCTTCCACAAACGCCATCAGGGCCAGATTCTCTTCTTCTTCATCATCGGAACTCTCCTCCTGCCATGGATCATTCTCAGTAGGAGTTGCAGCACTATCATCATCTTGCTTGGCCATGAACATCTTCTGCTTGTTCCACAGCATCTTTTGCTTGTAATAGTTGAAGTCCCTCTTCTTTGGTAAGCGACAGTCTTTGATGACATGTCCAGCTTTTCCACAGTTAAAGCATTTGAGGGGGTCTTCTGCTGCAACAACTCTACTAGAAGAGTTTTGATCATTGTTTTTTGTTTTGTAGTTGGCTGAGGAGGTTCGGAGCTTGTTTGATGAACTTCCTTTCTTGGCAAACCTTTTGTTGAACTGATTGGTAAGTAGTGCAATCTTCTTCTGTAGATCGGCCAGCTCGGATTCAACATCCATTTCTTCTTCACTTTCTTCTTCTTCTGATTCAATCTTAACTGCTTTCTTCTTCTTTGGACCCTTAGATGAACTTTTTGGCTTAGCTTCAATCATGAGTGCTAAAGGATTAGCAGAGAAGCTTCCTTCCATCTCAGCAATGTCATTAACAAACTGCTGCAGATGTTCATGGACAGTGCAGAGGTCAAGTTCATCCAAGTCTAGGTGCTGTCGTAGATTCTTGACAGTTCTTCTCCATTCTGGCGGCAGGCTCGACAAGAAACGTATGTTCATTTCCATATTAGATTTGACAACTTTGATCTTCCTCATCTCATTGATCAGTTGTACGAATCTGTTATACGTCTCATGGAGCGCCTCACCAGGTAGGGCTTTAAAGGCATCATAGGCGGTCAAGATGTTCGCTTTCTTTGTCTTCAAACCAAGATCAGTTCCAATCATTAACTTCTTCACCTCATCCCACATTTCCTTTGCTGTTTCCATACTGTCTATCAGAATGTAGATATCATTGGGGATAGCTTGCAGCAGATATGTTTTTGCCATGAGATCAGCTTTGATTCTCAACTTGTCAGCTTCAGTGTATTCACCTTTTGTCTTCAGTCTTCTTACACAGTTAACAGGAGGGTTGTTTACATCTGAGGTATCTACTTCAGTATAGATCTCAGCAGGTCCTTGTGTAAGTGATTCAAGCATGGCAGATGAATTGTCTTTCCCTTCCAGAAAGTTCAAGAATCTTGTCTTCCACATCTGATATTCTCCTTTTCTGAGGATGGGTGGTCTGTTGTCATTTCCAAGAGCTAATGCTTCCATCTTCGCTGATTGAGCCTTAAAAGATCGTTCGAGTGTTTTGATCAGATAAAATTAAATTATCAAATAAACAGAATGTCGAAAACCTAAGTTTCAAGAATAGGTTCGAAAACAGAGTTCGAGAAGCTATTTCGAGAAGCAGTTTTCGATGTTTTATATCGAAAACCTTGCTATCGAGAAGCTGAGTTCGAGAAGTTCTTTCGAGAAGTCAGTATCGAAAACCGGAGTTCGAGAACTTGGTTTCGAGAACTGACTATCGAGAAGAGATTCCGAGATCCTGCAAATCGAAAACAAGATATCCAGATATAATGTCGAAAACTGAGTGTCGAGAACAGCAGTTCGAGAACTCAGTTCGAGAACTTATGTCGAGAAGCCAGTATCGAGGTCCTGCAATTCGAAAACTCAGTTTTATGTAGATAAAACAGCTAAAGTTTAAAGTCCTAAATCCAGAGATCTTCCTGGAATGATCTTCAGCTCGAAAAAACTGCTACAATGTCGAGAACTCTGCTTTTCGACATCATACTATCGAGAAATCAAAATCACAAAATCTACTGATATTGAAAAATAAGATATACCCTTGGTTCGTTTCTGAATGGCGAATCCAATGGTATAACTTTTACAGTTTATCGATCAGAAACAAGATTACAGTGATAAAAAATCGAAAAGTATGAAAAGGCAGAGAACTTCGAAAACTTTTCTACAACGATCAAACTCGAGCAGGCTCTGATACCAGTTGTTGGTCCCAGTTTTGCAGACTAACGATCAGCTAGATGAGCATCATCGATAGACAGAAGAGAAAGATTTCATATAATGATATAAGATTTATCGAGAACAGTGAAACCTTCTTTCTGTAGTATCGAGAAGTAAATTTGGCAGCGTAAGGCTAATGTGTATTGATCGATATCGGTACCTGTACACAAGGCGCGTATTTATAGGCGCTGTACAGGTTACTGATTTAGGTAAACCTTGGAAGTTGGGCCAAGGCCTTTTTGGGCCTTATTCCCTTTACCTTATTTGCTACATAATAAATACTAATCTAATACCATAAATGGTATAACTAGTCTACTTTATTTAAACAAGACATTACAGACAAACTTGACCCACAATAAAAGTTCTAACAGATATAACAAGTAATCCCTATAAATAATCCCAACTTTTAATTTTACGCTTAATTTCTATTTAAAATTCACTTTTTATAGGAGGTAATATCTGATCATGGACCATTATTGGCGGATGGTCCATATAGTTGGGATTATACAAAAATAATCAATAGTTGGGATTATTATCAGCGGACCAACGATAGTTGGGATTATTAATTTCAATTTTTCCAAAAATAAATTGGTAACTGTTAATAGTCGTGAGTTTTATCAAGATACTCAGCATGATGTTTATCACTATATCACAAGTGTGCATTACTTGTTTAGTACATGTTCATCATCATATGAATAGTGTTGAGTGAGAGAGCTTGCAAGCCATTATAAATCAAGTATATTATGGTTTTAAAGTATTTTTGCGGTATTATGTTCAAAGGGTTCTTATTTCGTATGTTTTTCTCATGATCTTACCTTTGATTGTTCTGTATTTATTAGGTTATTGATAAATCATTTGGCTTTGATACTGCTGTAGAGGAGGCTCAACGTGCCATCAATGCGGCTCATGTTGAAGCTGAAAGCGCTGAGAATGGCGTTGGTGTGGTGAAGCTAATGGGTCGCTATAGTGGTAAGATGCACTTATAATCTTTTGAACCTTATCATCTAGCCATATTTTGGACCTTCATTACTTATAAACATGTTTCCTCATTTTTCAGTCGAATACGGAATACCCACTCTTGTCTCAAAAGAGTTGCATGTCTAAATATCACTCTATGAAACATCCCATTTTTTGTGTCTCAATTGCTTTTTATGCTGATATTATGGAAATAAATTAGATGACCAGTTGTCCAACACCCTCCAGTATATATTCTTATTTTAGGTGTACTTTGCACACATCATAAAAAGTTGTGGAAATTAGTGCACACGTCAACTTTTAACTGGGTAAACTGTGAGTGATGGAAAGGTAGTGGATTTTGAAGAAGGATTTGGATATTATTGCAGGATAATCTAAGTAGAAGGAAACTGGACTTATTGTTGGAAGCCTAAAAAGGAGACCAAACCTTTTATAATTTAATAAAGGGATTATATTTGTTGAACATGAAACACTGAAGCCCATAAAAATCCTTAACAATTGGGTACTAACTGAAAGTTGTCCCAATTTCCCTGGTTCCTGAAGTGCATGCTATAAGGCTCCTTGACCTGATTTTGGTATGACAATATAGTTGAGTATGACATGAAGTTTAAGATTTTTTTCCAGGATTCATTGCCATGTATGCTACACTGGCCAGCAGAGATGTTGACTGCTGTTTGATCCCAGAATCACCATTCTACCTTGAAGGAAGCGGTGGACTTCTTGAGTTCGTCGTGAAACGACTAAAAGAAAATGGACACATGGTTCTTGTGGTAGCTGAAGGAGCAGGACAGGAACTCATTGCCGAGGAGACCTCAAATTCCAAGACTGGAAAAGATGCCTCAGGGAACAAGCTTCTCCGTGATGTCGGTTTATGGCTTTCCCAAAAAATCAAGGTACTTGACATTACCATATATACACAGATATCCTTATAGGGCACTTTGAACTTGAAATTCTTGTTGCACTTTGAACTATTCTGTTTTGCAAATTTATAGGGCACTAGAGCTTATAGACAATGAAGGGGAGCCTTGACTCACCAGTTAAGGTGTTGTTATATGACCAAGGGGTCATGATGGGTTCAAGCCTTGGAAAAATTTGAAAGGGAATGCTTGCCCCTTGCACATCCTGGTTATGGGATACTTCCTCGGGCCCTTGCCTTGCGGGGATGCCTTCGTGCATTGGGCTACCCTTTAGGCTTGGTTTGCAACGGGAAGTGTTATATACAAAGTGACCAAAGTGAAGTCACTCCATTGCATGACCAAAGTGATGTAAAGTTATACAAAGTGTATATTTTCTGTGGAAAGTAATTCAGAGGAAACAGATTTAATTGTTTGGTATCTCATTTGACCAAAGTAAGAATGGCTCTGAGATTGTTTTCCTCGGGGACAGGGGAAGTGATTCTCATGTATTAGTTCAGAATCAAATTCCACTCGAGAGTGAATATTTATCCCTATAGAAAGCACCAAAGCCTTAAAATCACAGAATCCATTGCAAGAGTTATAGGATTTGGATTCCATGGATAGTGAATTTATTTTCCTTGAAAAGTACTCTCCACAAAAACAAACAAATGCTCTTAGGTGCATACTCTACATTGTACCCCAACTGCTCCTTTTCTACAAATGCACTCCTCTGTCTCTATGCTCTGGTGGGAATTTTTTTTATGTTTTTTTTTATTAATGGTGTCCTTTATGTGCTTCTTGCAGGATCATGCTAAACAGCAAAACTTTCCTATCACTCTTAAATATATAGGTTGGATATCATAGATACTATCTTGTTTCAATCGAGGTATTAACGGAAGGTTTATAGGTAATCAAGTGAAGTTTTTGTTGTAGATCCAACCTATATGATTCGTGCTATCCCTAGTAATGCCTCTGACAATGTGTATTGCTCATTGCTCTCTCAAAGTGCCGTCCATGGAGCAATGGCTGGGTATACGGGCTTCACTTGTGGGCTAGTCAATGGTCACCAGACTTACATCCCGTTCAATGTAAGTAGCATCACTCTGTGCATTATATTTTTTAACGAATGGAAGCGACAAAGAGCTGAATCTGATAGGACGGTGGCAACATTAGTATTAATATTGTTGTTGTTGTTGTTATTATTATTAGTAGTATTATTATTTTGCCTAACTATCTTGCTTTCTTTACCTTGGCTGTGATTGGGATATCCCTCATCAACATTTAAACAATAATCTTCTTAATGATTTGCCAATGGTATAAACCGTGGTCTAACCATGTTGTGCAGCGCATCACGGAGCAGCAGAACCATGTTGTGATTACTGACAGAATGTGGGCCCGACTTCTTTCGTCCACGAATCAGCCAAGCTTCTTGCAACCGGACTTGGTTGATGAAGCTCACAGTGAGGTGTTTGATGGAGATAGTAGTGTTGAGCCTATGAAGACAGGTAAATGAAGACTCACCCACCTCAGCATGACAGAAATAAAAGTGCATACCCTCTCTCTAATGGCAACTATATATTGATCTCTGGTGGAATGAGTCATGCAGGAAATCTTTTGAAATTCATTGATGTGTTTAGGTGCCTCAGATGCTAATGGTCAGTTGCTATTTGGAGGTTCAACACCTGATTTTTATTTTTTATTGTTTGATTACTAACAGAGAAAAGCGTTAGGGAGTGGGTTTCAAATTTTGCAGTCTTAGAAATTATAGTTCAGCATGCAAAGAAAATATATTGTAATGATTTCCTATGACTGAGTGATATAAATATACCATTCAACAGTAGTGATTATATGGGAAACGACTCACTGACATGAAAATATGGTGGTCTAATCTTTTTTATATGAATTTAATGATTTGACTATTATCGTTATTAGTGTAAATGAGTCAAATTAGAAATGACTCACTCACACATATAGAGTTGTCTGTACACAGACAACTTTGTAGAGTTGTCTGTTTACGGACAACTGTGTATGCATTAGACAGACAAATATACCAAAGGTGTACACCAAAAAGTGTACACCAAGCATGGCTGATGAAATTAATGTTATAATCATGTAATAATACTACACGTAAGAATTAGTGAGATTTAATTTTAATAGCGATGACAGTGATGGTTACTATAATCCCCTGTCATATAATAAAGAATAATAAAAATAGAAGTTTGGAGCAATTTGGGATTCTAATTACCAAGTGTGGTGATTTTGAAATATTTGGTCAGCCATATCTAAAACGATAAACTTTTGGTCCTGCCCATCATAGGATTCATAGCTAAGGGGCGCACTGCTTAACCAGATATTCTTGTTTGGGTTATAAATAAATATAGATTACATGTGAGAGAATAATATTCGCAATTAGGGATGGACGTGATCCGGTCTTGGTCCCAGATCGATCGGTCTTTGGAGAAAAATAGTGAGTTCCGGGACCGAAATTTATATTTTCGGTTCCCGAAACCGGTCCAATATGGACCCATCCCTTTTTAATTGTCATTACCATATGTTTTTACAATATGTTTTTTAAAATATATATGTTTTTACAAAGTTAAACGTCCCAAGAATAAAGCAGTACTTCCAATTTGGTTCTAGATTTTTAGTTGTGCTTGTGCATCCATATTAGAACAAAGTCATCAAAATGTTTTGTACTTATGATAAATATGAAGGACATGTGACTTTGTGAGTCCAAAAACCATATACTTTCTAATCCTTACATAGTAAGGTATAAAAGAAAAACTAGTGGAGGAAATTAATCTCTACAATCCATTTATTTCATATAAACGAACTCCACTGGCACTTTTATGGCATGTTTGTTTTGGGCTTAACTTAGGTTATTGGAGGTTCAATATTAAGTTAATCTCATTTGTTTGTGTTTTTACAACAAGAACCTAGGTTATGACTTAACTTCACTTAACTCCCGAGAACCTGGAAACACCTCAAATTGAAGAACCTCCGAATCGGGAGGTTTCGGAGGTTAAGTTCCCGTTCAACATAAAATAAACTAGAGTATTTTCATCCAAACAACATTTATGACATTAACCTAGGTTCACCTTATTTATTTTCAAACGCCATTTTACGCATGAACCTGAGTTCACTTAGATTAACGTAGTTTTTACTAAAATTTAGGTTTACTTTATTACACTAAGTTTAGTTAAGTTCACTTTATCCAAACAGAGCATTAACGTAAAAATGTGCATTACTAAATGGTTTGACGTAAAGAGACAAAAGAGTTTAACGTAAACAAATACGTAATATAATAATTCAAAATTACGATGTGGCACAAAGACTCATAAAAAGATACAGATTACGTAGTAGGTCTTAATAGCCTTTCAAGAAACAAATGAAATAAATGACGTTGTTGAGACAACCACGCTTAATAGCTATTTTGGTGCATTTCTTAAAAGCTATTTCGTAAACAAATATACGAATTCAAAATGGGAGAATTTGAATTTGCGTCTCATGTTTTGGATGATATTTGACTTTGCACCCATTTTAAAAATCATTAATGTATGATCATTATAAGATCATTTGATTTTGCACATCACTCCTTCACAAATTTTAGTCTAATGAGGTGCATATACTAATGATTTTAAAAATGGGGTGCAAAGTGAAATATCACCAAACATGATTGTGTACATTTATTTTGAATATGTTACTCTACTCTAGCGAGTGTAGAGCAACATATAATTGTGCCTTGATTTTCTTTGCAAATAGTTCCACATTAGTTTTCTTGTTAACTTTTAAAAAATATTTGTGGTTCATATAACTTCAATCTTCACCAACCACATCTTTTAATTTTCCTGTCAATATCAACAAGCATGCAAAGTCAAGAAATACAATTAGTTTGGGAGTGAGTGAGTATTTTTTTTTAAAGATTCTTTGTTGAATAGGGCTGGACTCGGGCCGGTTCGGGCCCGGTTCGGGCCTGGGCCCGGCCGGGCCTCGGGCCAGGAAAGGGGAGGCCCGAGCCCGAACCGCCGGTGGCCGGTTCCGGTTCCGGTTCCGGGCCAAACCGGGCCAGGCCGAACCGGCCCAATTAATTTTTTTTTTGTTCTCCTATTTAATCCCCTACCCCTCCCTCTCAACCCCAAACCATCCCAAACCACCTCAAATGGCCCAAAATACCTAATCCAACCTAAAACTTAAAAAAAATTCAAAAAAAAAAAAAAAAAAAAATTTAAAATCCGGCCCGGACCGGGCCCGAACCGGCCGGGTCGGTTCACCAAAACCTGGGCCCGAGCCCGGACCGCCCAGCACCCGGGCCGGGCCAAACCGAACCGGTGGACCCACCGGGCCACGGGCCGGGCCGGGCCAAACAGTGACCGGGCCGGTTCGGCCCGGGTCGGGCCGCCCGACCCGAGTCCAGCCCTATTGTTGAATCTTCTTTAATGACATGAACTAGCCAGTTTCGTTTCGTAAGTAAAGTGAGGACGTTGTATCCATAACGCATTTGATTGATTCAAATCATTATTCGATCAATTGTTGACTTTTGAAGTATTCCGTTGCAACACTGTACATCAGTACATGTATGACAGTATGACACAATCCAGATTATTACTTGGTCTTAACTCATAAACTTGTGCAAGCTAAGAACACATTTTTTTATCAAAAATTCTAGAGGTACCCCAAAATGTACCCCATTTTGTACCCACCCTCCTGAATTGCCTGTGTACACAGGCAATTCGTTTGAAAGAGGGCAGAATTTTCTGTCCAAATGTCTGTGTACACAGACGGTGTACAGATTGGGGTACAAATTGGGGTACCCCAAGCAGGACTCTTTTTTTATACATTTCATGGCCTCATTTTTGTATGACAGGCATGTAAATATGCAATATAGGGCGAAAAGTAGTTCTAACGTTGGCTATGATAGAAACGGTGTAAAATACTCCGTAATGAGGACGCATTGTTTAGTGTGTTATGAATATCTTATTTCAACGAATTGATAGTAACTAGAGGTCAACAAATAAAATGTGAAATGTAAAATAGAATGATTGTTTTGATAGAACAGCATATTTACTTCCACTTGATACACAAAACACTGATTTTGAGACATAAGTATACAGACTTGGCCTTTAAGTGATATAAGGGGTCGATTAACCCTTAAAAATTCCAGAAGGCTCCGCATTTTGGATGATCCATGGATGCTCAAGTACCTTGATCAGTGGCAGGCGCTTCGAACTATCCTTTACTAGCATCTGCCCATCCAACAATTTTCAATCAATCATGTCTCTTCTAGTAATAGCGGGACTAGATAAGCAGGAAGTAGAAAGGAGGCCCTTATAATTCTTTTTCTTCACCTTATTACTTTTTCTTATTTCCAGACCAAATGAAAGACACTCGAATCAAACACAAAATCAGATTTTACACTACAATCAAGAAATATAAGACTATAAAAGGTAATGAGATAAGATCTAATAACAACTGAAATATACTCCCTCCGGTTTTTAATAAACTTCACACTTTCCTTTTTGAGACGGTCTAAAATAAACTTCACACTTCCTTATTTCCTTTTTTGGCAAAGAAATCTACATCAAAACAGTGTCAAACAGTGTCTCAACTGAAGAATTCAATTTCCAGGTCATATCCAAGTACAAGCAAATTGAAGAATCCAATTCCTAATTTCCCTGAAGTTTCCTCCATGTGCAAGAATGACAAAGGGATCTTCCATACACCTAGGAGTGACCTTCCTTCCAACCACCATTGAAGCTTCCTTCCACCTTCATAGTACCTAGTTTTGGTGCTATAAATAGAGAGCTTGGAGAGTCTTTCTATCATCAAGTAAATTAGAATAGATCATCATAGCACAACCAAGTTTGAGTTGTGAATATCCTTGAGAGATATGTGAGGTGTTGTTTTTGAGAGTTTTTAGTTAGAGCTTGTATGTCTCTTCTTTCTATTCTTGAAAGTAATAGAAGTGTTTTTCTCTCATATTAGCACGATCCTGTTATTCCCAACAAGTGGTATCAGAGACTGGTTGAGCTTTTGATACTTTTCCCAGATTTTTTCAGATAAAATTCTACTGTCTGAAAAATCGAGTTTTTCAGTATTGCTCGGAATTGCAATCTGAATATACCGTTGGATTCGTCTCGTCGAGACGAGAAAACTGGTATTTTTGGGGATTTTTTTGGCCACCGGAAGCTGCCGTACGCGCCGCCAAACGCCGGCCAAAAACTGCCTGCGTCATGCTGACGTCATCACGCGCAGACAGAGGTTGAAGATAGCTGACGTCATCGCTGATGTCATCAGCCAGCCAGAGCTGTGTCAGCGACACGTCAGCGCCACATGTGTAGTCCCAGCACAGTCAGCCGCCACGTCACCAGTCAACTGCCAACTTTCACCAGCGCCCAGTCAGCTGCCACGTCATCGCCCAGTCACCGCCACGTCACTGCCACGTCATCTGCCACGTCACCGGTCAGTTTGTAATTTTGAAAATTTGCAGTTTGGTCCCTCAATTTTTGGAAAATTATAATTTCCACCTATAATTTTTCGAAAATTGTATTTTGACCCTGAAAGTGCCTACCCACCACTTTCGGCCGTTCCAGACGCAACGGTGCTGCCCGTTTTTCGAAATTCGGCTCCGATTTTTCTGAAACAGAAAATCAAAATTATTTAGAAGGTGAAAATGACCTTTGACGAGTCAACTTCATCTTCCGGAGCTATGATTATGCTCACGGCTACCAACTACACGCTATGGAAACCTCGGATGGAAGATTTCCTTAGCTGTAAAGACCTTTTTGATCCAGTAGAGATGAAAGGTATTAATCCTTACCCGGCCAAGTCAACGGAGTGGAAGAAAATTAATAGAAAAACTATTGGTCAAATCCGACAATGGATTGACCATAGTGTCTTCCACCATGTTGCACAAGAGACCGACGCTTATGCCCTTTGGAAGAAGTTAGAAGATATGTACCAGGCCAAGACCGCTAGGAACAAAGCCTTACTGATGAGGCGTCTTGTCAATATGAAGCTCAAAAGTGGAACTTCTGTTGCTGAACATACTAGTCAATTTCAGAGTCTGGTAAATCAACTATCTTGTGTAGAAATGCCACTTGGAGATGAAATGCAATCTCTACTACTTCTTAGTTCCCTTCCTGATAGTTGGGAGACACTAGTTGTTACTCTCAGCAACTCAGCTCCAGATGGCAAACTTACCATGTCTGTGGTCAAGGATGCACTGTTCAATGAGGAGGCAAGAAGGAAAGACATGAGCACAGATGAGACTCATGCCCTTGTGACGGAGAATAGAGGAAGATCACAAGGAAAACAACAAAGAAACAGTAGAGGGAAATGGCAAAGCAGAGGCAAAAGTCGGGGGAGATCATCAGATGGCCGGAAACCTTCTTATACCTGCCACCATTGCGGTATAGAGGGTCACATGAAGAAGAATTGCTACAAATTGCTAGAGGAGCGAGGCAAGAGCAATTCTCAAGCGAAGAGCAAGGGTGGTGAAGCGCTCATCACAATCTCAGGTGATGTGACGTATTGTACTATCAATGATGAAACATGCCTTCACGTCTCAAGAGAGGACACTGAATGGGTGGTAGATACTGCAGCATCCTACCATGTGACTCCCCACAGGTACTACTTCACAACTTACAAAGCTGGAGACTTTGGAGCAGTGAAGATGGGCAATTCCAGTTCATCTGAAATAGCTGGAATTGGTGATGTACAAATAAAGACGAGTTCTGGGAGCACAATCACTTTGAAGGATGTCAGACATGTTCCAGACCTTCGTCTCAATCTCCTGTCAGTGGTATGTCTTGACGAACAGGGGTATGAAAACCACTTTAACAGGGGCACCTGGAAAATGTCAAAAGGCGTTTTGACAATCGCTCGAGGACATGTTTGTGGCACATTGTACAAAACCCATTTGAGGATTTGTACGGATAGCCTCAACATTGCTGAGGAGACTTCTCAGAATCTGTGGCACCTGAGACTCGGCCACATCGGTGAGAAAGGGCTGACTACCTTGATCAAGAAGAACCTTATCAACATCGACAAGAATGCTGCACTGTGTCCTTGCAGTCATTGTCTGTTTGGTAAGCATCATAGAGTATCATTTAGTTCTACTTCAACTAAAAGATCAGAGTTGTTAAGTTTGGTACACTCCGACGTCTGTGGTCCTTTCGAGGTGGAATCAATCGGTGGAAGCAGATATTTTCTGACTTTTATTGATGATGCTTCTCGCAAAGTGTGGGTGTATTTCCTGATTACGAAAGATCAGGTATTTGAGTGCTTCAAGACATTTCACGTCTTGGTGGAACGTGAAACGGGAAAGAAGCTGAAATGTCTCCGATCTGATAATGGAGGCGAGTATACTTCTAAGGCGTTCGATGCATATTGTAGAGAATATGGCATTCGACATGAGAAGACAGTACCACGCACCCCTCAGCACAACGGCGTTGCTGAAAGAATGAACTGGACTATCATGGAGCGTGTCCGGAGCATGCTGAATATGGCTAAGCTTCCGAAGTCATTCTGGGCAGAAGCAGCCAACACCGCCTGCTACCTTATCAACCGATCACCTTCGGTACCACTGAACTTTGAAGTTCCAGAGAGGTTATGGACAGGTAAGGATCCTACATACTCACATCTTAAAGTATTTGGTTGTTCATCATATGCACATGTATCCAAAGAGCTCAGGCAGAAGCTCGATGCAAGAACTATCCCATGCATTTTCGTTGGCTATGGAAATGAAGAGTTTGGATACAGGCTATGGGATCCTAAGGAGAAAAAGGTGTTCAGAAGTAGGGATGTTGTGTTCCACGAAGATTTGACAATAGAAGACATTGAAAAACCCACAATGTCTCGGAAGTCAAATGAGGGTGTTCAAGTTTCAAATGAAGCACCAGAAGAGGACAAAGTGCATGAAGATAACTCAGAAGCAGAAGAACACGAGGAGACAGAAGAGAGTGCAGGGCAAGGGGAGACACAATCCACCCCGCCAGACACAGATGATGGTAGCTCTTCTCAGATGGTTCCTACTGTTCGTAGATCTGAACGAGGGCATATACCATCGACAAGGTACACATCATCTGAATATCTTTTGTTAACTGAAGATGGAGAACCAGAGAGTTTTCAAGAAGCTGTATCTCATAAGGATAAAGAAAAATGGCTAATAGCAATGCAGGATGAGTTAGAATCTCTGCAGAAAAATCAAACTTATGAGATCGTAAAACTTCCTAAAGGGAAGAAGGCACTGAGGAACAAATGGGTGTTCAAGCTGAAGAAGGATGCAAACGGACAAGTGGTGAAACACAAAGCTCGGTTGGTTGTCAAAGGGTTCCAGCAGAAGAAAGGAATTGACTTTGATGAGATTTTTGCACCAGTTGTCAAGATGACCTCAATCCGAGTTATACTTGGCTTAGCAGCAAGTATGAACTTGGAGCTTGAACAGATGGATGTGAAGACAGCATTTCTTCACGGAGATTTGAAAGAAGAAATCTACATGCTGCAGCCGGAAGGTTTTGAGAACTCAAATGATAACTTTGTGTGTAAGTTATCTAAAAGTTTGTATGGTTTGAAGCAGGCACCAAGGCAGTGGAATAAGAAGTTTGACTCATGCATGAAGAGTCAAGGCTACAAGAAGACTACTGCGGATGAGTGTGTATACATCAAGAAACTTCCAGACGGTACTTTCATTGCTCTTCTACTATATGTAGACGACATGTTGATCGTTGGGAAAGATGCAGTGAAGATAAACCAGCTGAAGAAAGAACTCTCTAAGTCTTTTGATATGAAAGACTTAGGACCGGCTCAACAGATTCTTGGGATGCAGATCACTCGAGACAGGAAGAATCGCAAGTTATGGCTATCTCAGGAGAAGTACATTGAACGAGTACTTGAGAGATTCAAAATAAATGATGCCAAACCAGTAAGTGTTCCACTTGCGAATCACTTCAAGTTGAGCAAAAGAACATGCCCTACATCCAAGGAAGAGACCGAGGAGATGTCAGCAGTTCCATATTCTTCAGCAGTTGGGAGTTTGATGTAAGCCATGGTATGCACAAGACCATCCATCGCACAAGCAGTGGGTATAGTGAGTCGTTTTCTCTCTAACCCCGGGAAGGAGCATTGGGATGCAGTCAAATGGATTCTCAGGTACTTGAAAGGTACCACGAAGTTATGTCTTTGTTACAGAGGAGCTGATCCAGTCTTGGAAGGCTACACAGATGCTGATATGGCCGGAGACACTGATAGTAGAAAGTCTACTTCAGGATATATCTACACTTTTGCAGGGGGAGCCGTTTCTTGGCAATCAAGATTGCAGAAGTGTGTTGCTTTATCTACAACAGAAGCAGAATACATTGCTGCCGCTGAAGCAGGTAAGGAAATGTTGTGGCTAAAGCGTTTTCTCCAAGAACTTGGGATCCAGCAGAAAGAGTACAAGGTACATTGTGACAGTCAGAGTGCTTTAGACTTAAGCAAGAACTCCATGTACCATTCTCGTACAAAGCATATTGATGTTCGGTATCACTGGATACGAGAGACGATTGATCAACAACTGTTGAGACTAGTGAAGATCAATACAAAGGAGAATCCATCAGACATGCTGACGAAGGTGGTGACACGGGATAAGCTAGAGCTGTGCAGAGACATAGTCGGGATGCTTGTTTTGAATATGCCTGGAAGGGGAGAATTGAAGAATTCAATTTCCAGGTCATATCCAAGTACAAGCAAATTGAAGAATCCAATTCCTAATTTCCCTGAAGTTTCCTCCATGTGCAAGAATGACAAAGGGATCTTCCATACACCTAGGAGTGACCTTCCTTCCAACCACCATTGAAGCTTCCTTCCACCTTCATAGTACCTAGTTTTGGTGCTATAAATAGAGAGCTTGGAGAGTCTTTCTATCATCAAGTAAATTAGAATAGATCATCATAGCACAACCAAGTTTGAGTTGTGAATATCCTTGAGAGATATGTGAGGTGTTGTTTTTGAGAGTTTTTAGTTAGAGCTTGTATGTCTCTTCTTTCTATTCTTGAAAGTAATAGAAGTGTTTTTCTCTCATATTAGCACGATCCTGTTATTCCCAACATCAACAGTGCCAAACAGTGTCTCTACAGTTCCGAACAGTGTCAAACAATGTCTCAACAGTGTACTCTACAGTAAAGTCAAATTTCTTTCTTTATTTTGTGTGAAGTCAAACTGTGAAGATTAAAAAAAACCGGGGTAGTAAATAATAAGACCATATATCTTCATACGTCCATGTCAGATAAAAAAATTTAGACTATAAGAGCATGAAAACAATTCTGCATATAACCGTATAAGCAGCATTTAGCTTATTCACAAGAAAATATCATAGGCCACTAAATAAAATAGTTGTAAGAAGTTTAACCTGACTAATCATGTCTTTTGCAGCAGAGGAGACTATGGGCTTCGGAGGGAATTTCAGATCAACTTGCACTATCCTGCACGCCCAATAACAAAGAAACAAGACAAAGTGAATTGCCAGCAGTGATAATTTTATTAAATAATAAATAATTTTAATGAAAAAGAGAGTCTATGGGCTTCGGGGGGGGGATTTCAGATCAACTTGCACTATCCTGCACGCCCAATAACAAAGAAACAAGACAAAGTGAATTGCCAGCAGTGAAAAAGAGCTCTATATAGCTCTTTTTCCTTAGTAAATAATTTTGCATATCCTCAGTTTTGATTGAGAAGTTCCCGAAATTGGTCTTCTATGGCCTTTAAGTGTAGATGAACCATTTGTGTTGTTGGGTCAAATACGGTGTTAAACTCGGGTGTATGATAATTACTCTCTGGTTCAAGATGCATTTGAAAGGAATTACTCATTCAAACTAACAGATGAAGCACTTTTACATCCATTTTTTCTTTTTGATTACTGTTCCTTTCTTTTAAATTACCTTCTGTAAGTGTCTGAGTGTTCCTTTGCTTCAAAGGGAGGTACCCCATACAAGAACTCATAGCAGAGGACGCCGAGGCTCCAAATGTCAACATTTGCATCATGCTCAACGCTCTCCACTGTAAATAAGTTTGAATGATATCATTTAATCGTGAAACCCTAATTATTTTATGCAGGTGGCTACATAAGCTGTTGAAACACCAGCACACTTACCCATCTCAGGCGGTAAATAATCCAGAGTGCCACACATCGTCCGTCTGCGATTGAATGTGTGCACAGACCAACCAAAATCAGCAATTTTAAGTTCACCCTGATATTTTTAAAGAAATGATCAGATTAGTTTATTAAAATTATTGTTAGAAAAAACATGGCAAAGTTTGCAAGAAAACTAGAGATAATTTGTGACTAACCTGAGTACCAACTAAAAGATTCTCTGGTTTGATATCTCTGTGTATAACATGTTTTCCATGCAAGTATATGAGGGCTCTAGCTAATGATGCAACATACTGTCACAGGTATTAAGAAGAAAAATATGAACTTTTAAATAATTAATCAATGCTCATGTTATAAAGTAATAACAGTATGATAATAAGCACTCACAGTAGCAGCACGCCTTTCACTGAAATATTTGCATTTTTGCAATTCCTTGTAAAGTTCACCCTTAGCTGCATGCTCCAGTATCAAATACACTCGTTTCTGCATTTATAATATATGAAAATTTCTCAGTCTTCACAGAGTCGAATAAAACACAATACTGCCACTCATAACAGGAAAGGACAGAAATTACCTGATCATAAAAGTAGCCATAAAGTCTCAGTATATTTGAATGCCTGAGGTGACTTTGTATCTCAACTTCACGGCGAAGTTGGTGCTCAACCTGAGATTGTTTTAGTTGGGTTTTGAACAGAACTTTTAGCGCCACAATGTGATTGCTCTGCAGAAAAAAGTAATCCATTGATATGGTGATTGACAGTAGCTAACAAGCTTCTATAGAGCAGAATTTTTCAAACAAACTATATAGAGATCAGAAGAACTAAAGACATTAAGCTACACAAGTTCAAATTCACTTCTACTTTCCTATATAGGTAACTAGGTAAGGAAGTTTTAGGGATAGCCAACCCCTATTAAATAGCCATAAACTCCGTATCATAATGAGCTTTTGCCAAACTATAAAAAGATCAAGGAATTCGTGTTAATAAAGTTGATTGTTCAACCTCAGAGAAATGTCATCACATATCACATTTGAAAGGCTATTAAGAAAAAAAATGAAAGACTATTAAGGCAATATATATTGGACATGTAAAAGTGCCACTTTACCCTCTTCTCCCTAGCTAAATACACGTGACCAAATTTTCCTCTCCCAAGAGGCTTTCCAATGTCAAAATCATTGAGAGTCCACCTCTGTTTCTCCTCGCCTGTGCCTTCAGGTGGAGCCTGTAGACATAGCCAATCAGTACTCTATGCAATCAACTAACAGTACCAAAATAAATTCAAAGCTTGTGCCTTTAGATGGTCAAAGAGCACAGTTTAAGAAATTATGTCCCATAGTCCCATAATTCCTTAGCATCCATTCTGGTCTGGCCAATTTCATGTAAAATTCATTCAATCAATCAATTTACTTTTTAGACATCTCTAACGCAAAAACAATCCCGAAAATTGAAGGTTCAACCATGAACGCGTTCATAGAAATGGTCCACTATTCCGTACTCACAGGCAACGCATACTTCCAAGGACAGGTATACGAAATCCCTAATGTGCAATGCAGAGTTTTAGAGACCTATCGTAGAGTTAAGTGATTAAAGATAAGATGCCACTATAAACCTTAACTTCGTAAGCAACACGCCGTGAATTTCCGGAGTTCCCAAAAATCCCTTAAATCTCGTGACTGTGCAACATTCAAGGAATACATTCTAATAGAACTTTTCCGGGGGCGAGGTTAAGAGTTGTACCTTGGGTTGATGTTGCTGCTCCGACTGCGTCTCAGCTGCGATCGCCATTTCTAGGGTTGCTTTTGCTGTAGAGGGAGGAAGACGGAAGGGGAGAAGCAAAGACAGCAATTTCTGATTTCTTTGGATTTGGATTTGAATTTTGGAGTGAGAGGGAGGGGGTTTATTTATATTCTTTAGTTATTTAATTTTAGTTTTGGATATTATTTATGCATTTTATTTGTTTGCAACGGTCGAATATTAGCGGCAGTCAACGTGGCCCAGACGCTGGTTTTCGAATCCTTTTTTTTGTTTGCTTTTAGTTTTTAGTTTTTTACTGTTTGATCTTTTCTTTTCTATATTTTTATTTATTGTACACAATAAACGATTAAAAGGTTTCTGTCCAAATTTGGAGATTCTCACTTAAATCTGCCTTTCAAATAATGGTGCATGAGAACATTAAGTTTCACCAGTATTAAAAACCTGCAATTGAGTATCGTGACTTTTTTTTTTTTGATAGAGTAGTATCGTGACTTTTGTTACCATGTTTTTTAATTCACTTTCTAGTTATTAGTTTTTTTTCTTTTTTAGAATTGCTTAAATTATATCTATAATTAACTCATATGAATATAATGTATTATAATACTTTTGAATTATGAATTTATAGGGAAAGAGTCAGATAGGCCCTCAAACTTACGTTATTTCTATAATTTAATTATCATTCTTGTGCGATACCTACGTATATATCTTGTTCATATAATCTCGTAGATTAGATTATTTTTGTATAAATACTGTACACCCAGTATTAATTTCACTTTGTATTCAAGCTCAATTTGTTCAACTTTTTATCACTTTGTTGTGCCACTGTACAAAATTTTATCACTTTGTATTCAATCTCTATTTGTTCTTCAATTTGATGAACAAAGTGAGTATAGAGCTTATTGACCAGTATGATCGTGTGCTCTAAAAGAACCTCTCCTATTCTACTTATACACCAAGGGGGTCTTCCTCGCTTCTGATCAATTAGGATGTTTTCTATTGGACTGTTTTCAGTCTCAGACCAGACCAGACTTAAACAGACCAGACCAGATCAGACCAGACTTAAACAGACCAGACCAGACCAGACTTAAACAGACCAGACCAGACCAGACTTCCGTAGTTATAAAATACACAGAGACCAGACGTTTACCAGACCAGACCAGACTTAAACAGACCAGACCAGACCAGCAAATTTCAATCCAAAAGAAAACATCCTTATACTGCGAACTTTGCTCCTCCATTGCGTGTGGAAACAGTTTGGCAGCTCTATCTTCTTCTTTCGTTCCTAGCACGTTTGCCCCCAGTTAGCTTTTTTCCGTTTTAAACGCGTTTTAAACACGTACCGTTTTTTTGAGTAAAAAAACACGTTTAAAACGAAAAATAACGTCGGTCCGTTTAAAAAGGAAAAAAACTCCTACTTCCCGTATAAAACATATTTTTCCCGTATTTTACAAAAAACAGAAACATGAATTGATCAATTAAACGAATGCATTAAATGCATAGAAGATCAACAATAGTTTAAAAGTAGAAATGAAAACACTCTCCTCGTGATCCCGTGTTTTTGTATTGTTAATTACAATACAATTATTAATCACTAAAATTAATTGCATGACGGTTAAAGCTAGCATCCTAAAGACTAAAACTTAAAACACTACTCCCTCTGTCCTTAATAGTTCTTTCATAGTACAAATGACACACATATTAAGAAAGTGGGTATTGTGTTGTGGAGAGTTGTGCAAAAGATAAATAAATGTGTAAGAAATGTTGTGAATCACTAATTCATTACCAAAAAAGGAAAGTAGAAGTTCTTTTGATATGAATGAAAAAGGAAAGTTGAAAGTTCTTTCAGGGACGGAGGGAGTACTAGATTTCTGATGTTTTTTCAAACAAGCTTATCAAAATTAAGGTTTTTCTAAACTGGACATTTTTTAGTATAAACTTTTACACAAACAATAATAAGCGTAGCAATTGCACAACTTTTCTCATATGTCATCCGTCATTTTGATGAAAATTATGAGTATAACTTGAGTGTTATTTGATGATAATAGAAAGATAATGATTTTAACTTAGTCTCATTCTATTGTTATTATGCCTTATTTTTTGACGTCATTTTGCAAAATTATGTCTTGGACTTGCACCAAGAGGCTCTCCAGTAGAATTACGAATTATGTTTAGGTAGCAATGGAATTTGCCTCCTTGTCCTGGAGGCTCTCCGGTAGAATTACGAATTATTTTTATGTAGTAATGGAATTTGCTACATGAATATGTGTACTTTTATTTCTTTTTACTATATATGTTGTTTTATATAAAGTATATACTTTAAATGTTCAAAATAATGCCCCGTATTTTTTGTCCGAATTTTTGTAACCGATGACGTATTATACACGTATACGTATTTACACGTTTTATAAAAGTCAACGTTTTTTTCAACGAATTTTTGACCGTTTTTTTCATTCATGTTACCGAATAAAACGCGAACGTATTAAACCTCGTTTAATTCCCGTACCGTATTTAACTAACTAGGCGTTTGCCTTCCTGATCACTTTATTCTTCTGCGTTGGGCTTCATTTAGTTATTTCAGGATTTGGGCCGAGCCTCCTTTATTTTACGCACTCGCATCATCCTGACCCAACATACTGCTACACCCGATTGTAGGGCTGAGTCCGAAAAACCGAAAACCGAAAACCGAATCAAATTAAATTGAACCGCAACCAAATAAAACCGAACCGCTAAGAAACCGAAACCGAATGTAAAAAACGGAACCGAACCGAAGTTGTTTGGTTCGGTTTTGGTTTTTACCCTTCAAAACCGAACCGAACCGAACAAACCGAACTATTTAAAATATGAAATTTATAATTTAATTGTGAAGCATTAATTCTAATTAATCTTAATATCATCAATAGTCTTTGGGTTTCTTGTGTTAGAGAAATAATGTTTGTGTTATGTTTAATTTAATTTAGTTTATAAATTCATTTACACATTCATTGTCTGTAATAATGTAGCTATATTGAATGATGATAATATGTGTTTACTAGTTATTAGTAGTAATTAACTCTTTTTTAGATAACTTAAAGATTTTATATTGATAAAACAATAAATATTCATCTCAACTATATCACATAGAAGTATATAATGTATATATTCATTAACTTTTTTCGAACTACTCACAAACAAATTAAATCTATAATATATACAGTTTTATCTATCTCGCATACTCATATAATTCAAGACATATTTATCTCTTCTCATTTTTATTTTATTTGTCGTTGTATTGTGCTTGCATTCTTTATGTAATATGTTTGATCCCTCTAAGTATTATATCAATTTTGAATCAAGTGATAATTTTTTGGCAAAAAACCGAAAAAACCAAAACCGAACCGAAACAAACCGAACCAATCAAACCGTGGTTCCAAGTTTTGGAGTGTAAAACCAAACCGAAACCGAACCGAACTTTTTACTTTGATTCTATATTTGGTTTTAGGTCAAAACCGAACCGCAAGAACCGAACCCACCCCTACCCGATTGTAGGGTATACCGTATACGTAATAATTTGTGATATTAACTAGTGAATAAATATTTCCAAAACAAAATTCTGAACATGGAGATCGTGAGTGGACAAAACAAGCTCGATATTGTGATTTGTGTTTGAGTAATCTCAACACAATCGTGAATCTTTAATAGTGTAGTGATAAAATTTCCTCCCACTTTTTTAAAACTTCAAAGTTCAAATAATCAAATGTGTACAGTGTACACGGGTAGAATATGTAGCACAATTTTTATAGCTGTTGTTGCGAAAAGAACAATTACCCTACTTTACGATATACATATTACTATTACTAGCATTTGGTCGCGCAAGGCGCGACAGTCCGTGCCCTATACTTCAAGTAATGATAATGTATTAAAATAGGTATCATACTGATGTATTTGAGGTATAATTGTGCCGGCAAGCCTACAACTAATATAATGAAAAGAGTTGTGTAGTTATCAACCAACTCAAGATACATTATTGTCAAATATAGGATAACTCATTGTTTTGTATATTCTATATTTAGAAGGTGAAATTTAAGGTGCTTAAACGTGACAAATTTTAAAATGCTTATAATTATAATTATGTACGGTTTAGTTCTATAGAACATATATCTGTAATACGAAGTACTTCGTAATTGTGGACTTTTATATCTTATGTATGTTTTAAGACTTCAATTTGTCTTGCAAAAAAAACTTCAATTTGTGTTTGAAAATGAGAGGGTTGAGTGGCGTTGAAAGACTTGTCCTAATGAATTAGGGCCATCTGGATTCTTTCTATTGCCCTACTATCTCGGCTGAATTATTACATCAAGCTATGGAGACATGGAGTAATATTGTACTAATACTCCGTATATTGTACTAATACTCCGTAGATTGAGATAGTTAAAGGAAGTTAGGTTTTGACGACGTTAAGGCTATTTAAGTCCATGTGAGAAGTGAAGTCCCACTTTTTTAGAACAATGTACAACTCTCTGTGCATATAATGCATTGACATAAATAAGGGATACTAACTCTCATTCACAATTATAGGGTTTTTAGATTAGATTAGATTTAGATTAGATATATACACACACTAATTTCACTTTTAATAACTTGAACTAAGAAATTGCTTTAAATGTTAAATAATTGCACGTTTTAATTAATGCTTTATCTGCATCACCTATGCATATGAATAGACAATTTCGATTCTATAAATTGATGAACCGCTTTAATCACACAAGAAAGAGGTGAATTGTGTGTATAGAACTATGACAGTTTTTCGTCAAGTTTTAATGCGGGGCAAAGGGAAAACAAAAATTAGAGGACATAAAGATTTAAGGAGGATGTTGGGATAATATCCCAGGCCCAGTGCCATCGGCCCGTTATCCCCGAGCTCTGGCCCAATTAGGCCCAAGACGCAATCTCACGAGCGGGAATCGCCCCTTGCTCATTTATTTATTTATCAGGCCGGTTCGCCCATTAGCTTCAACATGTATTATGTATTTGGGCCAAGCCCACGTAGGTTAGACTTTGGACTTGTGATGGATGCCTATAAATAGGCCATCACCCCCCATGTATTCTCTACGCTTTTTCTACTATACTGAAATGCTGCTAGTTTCTTTACCCGGGTTATTTTCTACCAACATTGGTGC